AGTAAAACTAGGATTTTTAATTATATGAATAAAATTGGGTCCCCGCGGCAAGGTGCCCAAGATGTTGACAGCGTTCCCCCTTTGTATTGCTATGCTAATAATGCGTTGGGCAAGGTAGCTTGGGTTTCCCAGACAGTCTATTAATTTTTTCGATAAAATTCTGTACAGATGAAGGGCACCGGGAACCCACGGGCCAAGGGTTTCGACTCCAAATGTTGTAAATAGGTAGTCGGACCCGAGATCCAGGTACTTATTACTTTTTATTCTTTCCGCCAGATATCTTACTCATAAAAAATCATAACCTAGTTTTAGGATATTGAAATTGTTTGAGCGTGTTTGAGCGGACGGCAGATATGGACCATTTGGCACTAACCGCGTTTTAGTTAGTGGACGAGAGAATACTCGACCACGTTTTCTTGTATCATGATTAGTAGTTTTCTTTAGTTATTAATGCATGATTATATCAAAGTTAAATTAAATTTAGGTTATTTAATAAGATTACGAGTTTTACATTTTCAATATATTATACATATTAAAATGATCAAGGTAAACTTTGAAAGCTGAATTTTCATGGAGGAGTGTCACAATTTCCTTCAATCTGTTGTAACACTTCTTGCTAAAGAAAACACATGGCTTGTTACGCTTGACAACACAAGTCAGTCAATTAAAAGGCAAATAAGTAACATTTAAAAAACTTACGGTACTTAAAAAAGATATCCAAAATAATATACTTAATGGTACAGTCCCCATGGTCAAGTCACTGTAAAATACTATAATAACGAATGTTGAAGGAACCAGTTTTATAACTTATTTTTTATCAAATATGAATATTCATTATCTTTGATATCTAGAAAATAACGATTAGAACGCGCGAACGTGATCTCGCGCCATTTGTTTTTATCGAAATGTACAGATGAAAGATGTTGGATCTTTTTATGATATCAATTTTTCTTTCACATAGTACCGTGGGCTGGTCATATGTGTTGAAACACAGATAACCATGGAGGATACGAGTTCATAAGCGTATAGACGTGGTCTGACGTGGACTGGCGAAACGTAATGTAGGACGCCATGCTACAAGATGGAGTGGCAATCTATGAAAGGGCAGTTAAAGGAGGCGACAAAGTAAGGAGCAGGTAGAATGGCACATATTGGGGAAGTCCTGTGTCCTCAAAGATGTCATAAAAGGGTCATCATACTTTAAGATGATTCAAAGCGTCTGTAAATTTTCTCCAACTTACAGATTATTACATTTTTTTATAACATCAAGTGACGGGACGGACAAGTGTGCACCTGAAGGTAAGCTACAAGCCTGCCCACAACATTTTTTACTATTATTTAATAACAATATAGCTTAATGAATTTCACAAAAAGACATGATTGAAATAAAAACTAGATAAATAATTTGTCATGTAAGCATCTCACTCACTTAGTATAAACAAGATATGCTTAAATATGTTATGTTTTTATTATGATGATGGGACTAACAAATCGCAGTAAACGACACACTTACACATAACAGTTGCAGTGCCACTAAGAGCTTTAATAGCGAAAGTCTGGTGGGCACTGCCACGTCGCCCGTTACCTTGACACATAAAGTTAATAAATCCTATGTGCCTATAGTTTCATCTGCAACTTTACCCTTCGAAACCTGATCGCATTAATTGCTCACATTACTGCTTGCCTACAGAAATAGGTAAGGTGACAGTAGCTATCTGGATGAACTCTTTCACAAGGGGCTCTAGGTACTGCTACTATGTCGGGCATGCGATTGTGTTCTTTGCATGCCCAACGCGGCCATGCCATAGTACTTGAAAAAATGCAAAGGTGTAATCAACCTACTTTCTTAATGTTACTTTATTTCAATTAGGCGGAACAGGGAAACATAAAAATGTAATAAAATTAATGTATTCAAAGTTATTATCTTACAACATTGTCGTCGTAAGTTCGTACGATAACGTCGTAACATAATAAATTGTATCTAATAATAGATATTTATCATTAATTATTCCTAAGAATATTATTATTTTTTCTGCCAAAGGCTGCAAATAAAAATACCCTTTGAAACTCACAAATCGCACGCTACAACCAAAACCGTGTTAACGAAAATCCCATTTTTTTAAAAATTGTACTTATTTTCAGGAAACATTAAAGTTCATTTTCAAAACGTTGACTTTTTCATTTAGCAACGGTATTGGTTTTAGCGTATTATATAAATTAGTGACACTAAGTAGAAATAGAGCTTCTTGTCAAAGAGTTCGTCCAGGGAGATACTGCCACCTTACCTGGTTCTGTTCTGCCGCCAAGCAAGAATGTGAACCTAAGAACTCGTTAAGAATGTGATCGTTTCCGCGTTTCCATTTTAAGGGTGCTGGTGAAATTACAAGCAACAGGACTTGTCAACTAATGTTTCAGGCAGAGGCAGTGCCCCTCAGATCTGATTTATACTGCAACTGTTACAGACAAGCGTATCGCTTATCATCAGGCACACGACTTGTTCGTGCCGTCACTTGGTATTATAAAAAAGGCAATAAAGTCGGAATATTAACAATAAAACTTTAAAATAAAACGTCATTAGGTGCATAATCCACTATATAAAAGTTTTACTTTAGGGCTAGCACGACAGGGCGCGACTTGCGCGAGAGCGACATAAAGCACGAGATACTGCTACTGTGCTAGCCCTACTACATTGATCTCCATAGAGGTAAGAGTTTTGGCAATAATGCACCATGTCGCAGGGCAGTTCTGGTTATGGACCTTCTCAAAGAAATAAAACTTCTCCAACATGCTGGTCATTATGAGGCTTTGGGAGCGCTCCGCTATCCATATAAATGAAATTTAACCTTATTCTGTACCTCTAATATGAGACGAGATTACTATCCCATGGAAGAGGTACAGAATACATACAGTTGTCTAGTGATCGCGTAAAATATTTCACAATTTTGTACAGCGTCCTCTAGTGGTCACAAGAAGTAGTAACATTTTACTTATAAAATATATTAAGCGGTCGCTAGCGAAGGTAAAGGTACTTAGTACCTAGTATTCAGATACTAAACAATCAAACTCAATAATGTGATATTAGTGAATGACTAAACAAGTTCTAGAAAGCAATATTAACAAATTTCCATACCAAAGAGACTACTTTTGTGCCGATTTTTTTAAACAGATTTTTTTTTTAAATGCTTATTTTGTTTGATTTTACTTTGGATTCTAACTTTCGTAGTCCTCTATGTTTTATGAAAGTCTCGAAACTGGCTCTAGTAGTCGATTAGAACAGAATTGATATAAACTTAAATCTACATT